CCCCCCCGGCGCACCCCGAGTGCCGTGGGGGAAGGGGGGTGGGGAGCCCGCCGGGCCTGACAGCCTCCCGGTGCTGTTCGCTGCAGCCCCGCAGCCGGCCGCCTCCCTTCCCGGCCGCCCGGGGTGGCGATGTGGCATTTTCAAGTGAAGTTCCCCGTGTCTGCGTGGCGCATTTTCGTCCACACGCGTTATGATTTGAATCTTCAGCAGTGACACCAGCGATGTGGAGAGGGTCACCCCATTTCACAGATGCCAGGACTCGGGCTCCAGGCAGCCTAAGTGACTTGACAGGTCTCATCTCCGAACACAGTGATGGAGCTGGAACTGGCTCTCGCGGCATTTAACAACAAAAGAAGCTTTTTTTCCCCCCATCTTTGATGAATTCCTGTGATGCATCGTGGTTTTTGTTACTCCTTAGCTTGGAGACCTTCCGGTGTCTCCATCACCTGTAGAATAAAGTTCAGATTGGACATTCACGTTTTCCCATGATGGGGCCCCTTGCCTGCACTCCCACCTTGCTTTCCACTGTCTCCCCCTCCTGGCCCTTCTCTCTGTTGGCCCCGCCTGTTTTCTGTGGGCAGCCTTCACCTTCCTGTGCACAGTTCGCCTTCCCCTGCTTCAAGCCTCGCCGTCAGACTTTGAGGCCCGTTGCAAGTCTCTCGGCCCGACAAGGCTGGGGCATCTGGGTTCCTCCCTCGGATTTCTCTTTCCTTCCAGATGGGTCAGGGCACTCACCCTGGTGGTGTCACTGGAAGCTTTCTGCTCTCTGCCCCCTCCATCCCCTTCGCATGCTGTCCCTCTGCTCTCACCATCACTGGATTACTCATTTCTTTATACATGTTTTGTCTCTAACTGGACTGCCAGCCGCTGGAGGTATGGCCCCAAATCTGACGGATGGCGGTCCCCAGTGTCTGGCTCAGGAGCGCTTACACACATGCTCACAGTACTGGGGAGTCCAGGACTGCGGAGGAGTCCTGCCAGCCCCCACCTGGTTTTGAGCACATGGAATATTTATTGCTGGGCACGGTGGGAGACAGCAAGAATCACCCCTAAAGCGAGGGGTTACCTTTTACAGTAAAACGGGCGATTCAAATGTAAATGGTGAGATGAGTCTCCTTCCTCTGTCACCCACTCTGAGTGGCTGAGGAATTTCTAGGAACATCCAAATTTAGTAAGACCAGGCATGGTCTCTGGGATATACCTGGCCAGGGCATATCTAAAATATAACCAAGTCTGATTCATGTGTCAGGAAGGAACTGTTTTACTTTAAGGGAACAGTCAGAGAAGTGTATGGGGTCGAATAAGTCTGGGGAGACTGCATGCTGGATACTCCTTTTTTTGGAGGTCACATGAAATGTCACCTTATTAAAGGCTCCCAGAGGTCTTGCATTGAAGAAACCAATTGACTGTTTAGCCAGCATCCCAGCATTTCTCTTATTTATCTGTCTCTATAGCCCTTTTTGGGAACCCTGTGTGCATTTTGTAGAAACCAAGAGCATGCTATTGGAAATGTTACAGTAGAGGATAGAGCAGGACATGGTCACGGGGTCTTCTGCCTGTCTTCTGTCGGGGGGAAGACATTCTAAGCATTCTCATCTTCTTGCCAAGTGTGTCTTGCTTTGGGGAAGAGCAGGTGGGAGATTGCTCCAAGCAGAACTCCTGGTTCCTTGTTCCTTTTCTTAGCTTATTTTTATTATAATTTGGCTTCACATGATGTGTTCCCAGAGAAGGACCTGCCTTGGCCAAAGCAAGCATCTCTTTTTCTCCTTGGTGATTGTGTTTCTCATTTTGATCACATTTAGGTTTGTTGACCAAATGATGTTTCTGGACCTTTGAAGCTGTGGGCCAGTGGTAAATGCCCCCTGGTGAGCCTGTCACCGTCTCCTCCACTTCCTGTCTGTGCTGCTGTACCTGCCCCTTGTTTCTGCTGTTCTCGTATCTATCCATCCCTTTTATCTCTCCTGGAGTCTGTTTCTTCCAGACACTGCCACAACTGTCTGGTTCTTTGAATTTAATCTAATCTGCCCTCTCTTTGAGTCCTCCGCCCATTATGTGCTTCACACTGGTTTATTATCTGCTGTCCCTTTCCTCCAATATATAAAACGCTCCAGGTCATACCTGGGAGAGATGGCTGGCAAGGAGCAAGTTATTACACTGCAGAAGAGAGCTACCTTTAAAAGATTTTCAGGTTTCACTGCAACTTCTTTTAAATGTTCAAGTTCTTTCCTTTTATTCTGTCTTCCGTAACCTAGAGGAGCTGTGTTTTCTTGGGGCTACATTGTCGTTTAGCCAGAGACACTATTTCTTTTATGGGAAATCAGAGTGCTCATCCAAGGATGAAATTGCTTTCTCCATGTAGGGAAAATAATGAGGTACCTGCCTGGTACTCCATTGTCTGGTGGTGATGTCAGCCAACATTTGAGGCATAGTTTTATCAATAGCTTCAAGTTATTATTATTTTTTATTAGGTTAACTCTAAGGGTTGTTGTCAAAGCTTTAAAAAAAATAGGTACATTATTTGATTAGCAGTTGCTTTTCAACTCATATTTGACTGAAGCCATTAAGTGACCCAAAAACAACAAAACAACTTTCAGGAGTCATGTGACAGACAGGGAAACCTAGGCTCCAAGAGGGTTATAACTAGTAAGTGGCAGAGCTGGTATTTGAACCTTAGTTTATTTTGTTGAGATAGAGCTAACCTGTAATTTTTCCTTCTCCCAGGTCAAAAAGTAAAATGAAGTACATTCTAGTTACTGGTGGTGTTATATCAGGAATTGGAAAAGGAATCATCGCCAGCAGTGTGGGCACAATACTGAAGTCATGTGGTTTACATGTAACTTCAATTAAAATTGACCCGTACATTAACATTGATGCAGGAACATTCTCTCCTTACGAGCATGGTAAGCACAGTGCATTTTTCTTTCTTTTTTCTTTTATTTACTTTTTGTTAATTCTCACCTGAGGATATTTTTCCATTGATTTTTAGGGAGTGGAAGGGAGGGGGAGAGACAGAGAGAGAGAAACATCGGTGTGAGAGAGACACATCAAGTGGTTGCCTCCCACATGTGCCCGACCAGAACCGGGGATCAAGCATGCAACTGATCAGAATTGAACCCGGGACCTTTAGTCTGCAGGCCGACTCTCTATCCACTGAGCCAAATGGGCTAGGGCTCTTTTTTCTTTTTAAAAATAATTGTGTTGTGCGTAGAAGAAATGTCAGTCGGCCCTAGGAAATTGTGTGTATTTTGCATAACATAACTTCCATTTCTTGCCTTCTAAAAAGGTCCTTAAAGTAGCAGAATGACACTTTTCTCACCTGGACAGAGAGGAAGGAGAAATCTTAATATGCTATGTAGTAATTAGAGTGTAGAGGTTTCCGTTACAGAAATAATAGAAATTATCTTTCTGGCAGCTGAGTGAAAATCTGTCACTTCGATTGAAAATAGGTAATCTATTGACATAACTTTTTTTTAAATATTTGAGAACAGAGGTTTATATTTATTTTTGCTGGCCCAAGCTTTACAAATAGGATGCATGGAAAGATAATAAAGAAATAGAGTTTTCCCTGGTATAAGAAAGGTCTTGATAATAGCAAGCACCTTCCAAGATGGAGGTATCTGAGCTCTACAAGTTGCGTGTTCCTATGATGGAGGTGTCCATTCAAACAGGCTAATGGACCACTTTGCAGGGATTTCGGCAACAATTAAATGCTGGAGCTTCTGTTTTGCTAACAGAGTTTGGATAATATAAATGAGCATCATTTGAGGTGAGTGAAAAGTTGAAACTGCTAAAGGAGGATAGGAGAGTACCTATCAACTGTGATACCTGATTGTCTGAAGTACCTAACAGATTAATTGCTTAAAACTGGGGGGAGATGTACTAATAGAATATACTTCCTAAGTTTTTAAATTCTGTTTTCATATTCCTACTTTCTAAGCCTATCTAATAAAGAGGGAATGTGCTAATTGACCATCACACCCTCACAAGATGACGGTACCCACAGCCAATAAAGAGGGAATATACTAATTGACTGCCACGCTCTCACAAGATGGCAGCGCCCACAGCCACAAGATGGCAGTGCCCAGTCCCCTCAGCCCCGCCTCATCCAGCCTCAGTCCCCTCAGCCCCACAGGGAAGGCAGTTTGGGGTGATTGGGCCGGCAGGGGAGGGCAGTTGGGGACAATCATGCCGGCAGGGGAGCAATTAGACGTCAATCAGGCCAGCAGGGGAGCGGTTAGGGGGCTATCAGGCTGGCAGGCAGAGTTGTTAGGGGCAATCAGGCAGGCAGGCAAGTGGTTAGGAGCCAGCAGTCCCAGATTGTGAGAGGGATGTCCCAGATTGGAGAGGGTGGAGGCTGGGCTGAGGGACACCCCCACCCCCGTGCACGAATTTCCTGCACTGGGCCTCTAGTGTTGAGATAAAAATTTGTAAGGGTGGGTGTCACCAGGGCAAAATCTAGGTGTAATAAATAGCGATAGGAAAAGATGGACATACGGGGCAATATTTCCTACAGAATTCCTGAGCAGAAGATAAGCCCTCTCTCTGAGGGGGAAAATAAGACATTTTTTTCCTTTCCTGTGTTTGAGCTTGTCTCTTATTATGATGGTAGGAACAAACCAACCATTCTGGGCAAAATTGCTAGAATGACGTTTCGAGGAATGAATGTGAAACAAAGGGATGGGAAACACTTTTAGTTTCACAATTTTGTTTAGGACTAAAGTGTAGCCCAGAGCTGGCTTTTAGAATCAACGACCTTAACATATACAGTATATGTCTTGTTTAAGCCTTGAATCAAGTCATGCTTTTATCACATTTCAAACCTTGCTTTGCTCAAGTAGTAGAATTTGTTGAAAACAACAGATGCCATTCTAACTGTAAAGTCTCATATGCCCACAGCCCTTTGGGCTATAATTTTCTTCAATTCCATGGTATTTCAGAACTATCTGATTCAGACTGAGTTTGTTGACAGACTGGAGTGTGAAGTTACCTTTTGGAGAATGGTTGATTTTATGTGTGCGTCCTATTTAGTTACCTAGAAGTAAATTTCTTTGCTTTGCGTATAGGTAACTTTGTTCTAGTTGAGTATTTATGTTTTGGCATGCAAGTTGTGCCGTGGCATGTGTATTTTTCATTACCCTAAACATCTTCACTGTTTACTGCAGGTGAGGTTTTTGTACTGGATGATGGTGGAGAAGTTGACCTTGACCTGGGTAACTATGAGCGTTTCCTTGACATCCGCCTCACCAAGGATAACAATCTGACCACCGGGAAGATATACCAATACGTCATCAACAAGGAGCGCAAAGGGGATTACCTGGGAAAAACCGTCCAAGGTAATCCTGGATTTGCCTTCAAAGTTTAAAAATCTTAACCAGTTGAATTTCTTTTGTGTATTCTTATTGAAATATGCCGTCAGTTGACTCAAACAATAACTTGAAGAAGCCATCACTGCTCTGTGGACAGCACTGAAGCTGTCAGTCTGGTGGTGTGATTTGAGTCCAGAGAGCTGTTGTCTTTATACAGTACAGTGATGAGTGTGAAGTGATGAAGGCAACTAGGTTAGGGCAGTAAGCCTGACTGTGTGTGTGTGTGTGTGTGTGTGTGTGGTGGTGGTGGTGGTTGTGTCTATGTATAGGTAGTGATAGGGAAAAGGCATGCATCATGTGCATTGGTTTTAGGCTACTCATCAGTGCAAATGGGCTAGGGGAGTCTGATAAGTGGGTCTCAGTCCTCTTGAGCTATCACCAGCCCAGTTTCACTTGTATCTGTTTGCTGTCTTGGGGTTTGCATAGTGGTTCATTTGAGAAAAGTGCTGGTTTGAAAAAGGTGGGGTTGGAAAACCCTGACCTAGTATAATGACATACATCCAAACTTTTGGGGCCGCTAAAAAGTGGCTTTCACCTGGGTTAGGAGAATAGATCTGCTTTTGGCTTCAGGCTTTCCTGGACCGAAAGCCAAAGGTCCCTCTGACAATGAGCAACCCTAGACCAGATTCTAGCCTAATCGGGTCCTGTTTACACCTTAGCTCTGCCACTTACCAGCGTTATGAACAGAGGTGTGTTACTTAACCTCTCAGATCTGGTTTCCTTTTCTGTAAAATGAAGATAATAACAGTATCTACTTCTCCGGGATGTTGGGAGGATTAAAGGAGCTAAGTCAGTAAAGTGTTTCTTTTGAGTTCCTGACACTGTACACAAAGGGGCCAATTTGGAATTATAATGACCTTGATTATACAGTTCGTTTTCCTAGGCCCCAGTGTATTTGTCCATTTATTCATTCCTTCATCAAATATGTTGTGAATGCTCACTGCAGGTAGTCAGACCTCCCTGGTGCTGGGAATACAGGATGAAGAAGATCAGAGAGGCCATTGCCCTTGTGGAGGTTACACACAGATGGAATGAGCTGTCTGTTAGGAGCTGTGATGGAAGAAGAGTGAAGAGAGATTGAGAAAGTGGTGGGGAGAGCCAGTTGGACAGGTGCTCAGGGAAAGCCTCCAAGGAGAGGATGTGTGAGCCGAGAGGCTAGCCATGGGAGGAATAGAAGGTGGAGGTGCATGTCATGTACCAAGCTGCAAGGCTGCAGGGGGCTTGACCAGGGAAATGAGGAGCTGTTAAGGCTGAGCACAGTGACCCAGGGGGATGGTGAGAGGTGGGGGCTGCAGCAAGGTCATATGGGGCCTACTGGGCCCCAGCCTGGAGTTTGGATTTTACTCAGAGCATAAATTCAAGGAGTGGTGGACTCTGATTGGCATTTTTAAAAGATCCCTTTAGCTGCTGTGTATGGAATAGATAATGAATATCCTTGTGCTTGAGGCACTGCTGGCTCTATATATAGCAAGTTAAACAGTAATCTCTGCCCCTTAGGAATTTGCTATCAGAATCTAACAGTTATGATTTTTAAGTTTTTAGCAATAGCTGGCATTTATTGAGCACTGACACGCTAGGCATTCTGCTTAGCATTTTACCAGTGCTGTGTCATGTAATTTGCACAGCTTTATGAAGGAGAAGCTATTATCTCCAGTTCATGGAGAGGGAAATTGAGCTTAAGAATAGTTAAGTAATTTGCCCAAAGATCCACCCCTAATGAGAGGTGGAACTGAGACGTGAATCCAGACATTCTGAGCCCAGAGGTTGTGCTCGTAACTACTCTGCTCCACTGTACTGTCTCCAGTGGATTGTCTCCCCTCTGGGAATCTGGAAACACAATGGGACAGGGTCCTGGTTTCTCTTGTTCCTTGAAAAGCACCCAGGTTGACTTGCCCACCTTCAGCGGTAAGCAGTGGGGCGGCCACGTGGTCTGCCGTGTGGTTGTAGACTGGCTCAGGGGCAAGAACTCCGATGTGGGTCAGGACGCCACTCTCAACCCTACTCTCCCCTAGTGTCTCCAGCCACCCCTGGGAAGTCTGGAAAGGAGGCTGTGGGGAGTGGGAGCAGGAGCCCAAAGGTTTTTTTTAAGGTCATTTAAGAGTGCTCTCAAAAATATTTTTGTGATCCCTTTGCCTCTCTGTGAAGGCAAAGAGTGCAGCCATTTGTTGTTAAAGGTAAAGTGTGTCTTCCTCACCTATGCTGATGGAAAAGTGTGAGTCCCACTGTTTTTCTCCTCAGTTGTCCCTCACATCACAGATGCAATCCAGGAGTGGGTAATGAGACAGGCATTAATACCTGTGGATGAAGATGGCCTGGAACCTCAAGTGTGTGTTATCGAGGTGTGTATAAGTCTTTTCTAAACTCTGTGATTCCTGAGTAGGTGGCCAAGTGTACCTTTCACCTCCTTAGTCAGCCATCAGCAGCGAAGCCCTTGACCCTCCTAACTGTGATGTGGCAGGTGAGGCCATAGCAACAGTCATGTGGATCGGCTGTGCAGTCAAAACAGATACCTTGTCCGAGCAATTCTCCTTTTTCAGCATTTATACATCTATGTGGTGTGGACTGTGACACATTGTGTTTCTCTGAATGAATGAGCCTCCTTTTGTTTCAGTTTCTATATTCCTGCTTTGCTTATCCTAGCTGTTGGATCTCTGTTCCTGCAAAATAGGAGACTCAAAAGTTCCAGCAGCTAGTTTGTAACTGATACTTTTAAAAATATATATATATTTTTGTTTATTTCAGAGAGGAAGGGAGAGGGAGAGAGATAGAAGCATCAATGATGAGAATCATTGATCAGCTGCCTCCTGCACGCCCCATTGGGGATTGAGTCCGCAACCTGGGCATGTGCCCTCACCGGGAATCCAACTGACTTCCTGGCTCATAGGTAGATGCTCAACCATGTGGGCTAGGCTGCAAATGATGCTTTTAATACAAAAGTTTTTTGTGGCTAAGTGGATAAGATTTAGGTTGCTCTGTGACTCTCTTACAAATTAAATTCCTAGTACATCTTTCGCCTGACCTTTTTCTTGAAATGATGTGGAAAGATCCATGATAATCTTGGGGAATGGTAAACCCATCCAAAAAAAGTAATCTTTTAGCACAAAGAAATACCTAATTACTGTCAGAAAACTAACCCACAGGAGGGAGGTTTAGTACTTAACCTCTAAAATAACTTTGTTTCTCTAGCTCGGTGGAACAGTGGGAGATATAGAAAGCATGCCATTTATTGAGGCCTTCCGTCAGTTCCAATTCAAGGTCAAAAAAGAGAACTTTTGTAATATTCACGTCAGCCTAGTTCCTCAGGTAAGCCATTCAAAACTTGGGGGTGATGGAGAGGAGGGAGAAAAGAATGATTTTCACTCCTTTTCTGTTTTAAATATTTGAGCTGTAGGAAGCAGAAAATAAAAACTTCTTTGTGAATTTTAAGTTACAATCATACTTTCTGAAAAGATCCAGTGGGAAACATCAGGGACGTTGCAGTTAAAGCTGGTGGATTCAACATGTCCGTTTGTCTTTAATCACATGGTGAAGCCCATGACAATTATGGTAAAGGGAATTTTTATATAGACAAAAATTCACAAAGATAAATACTGAGAGAGGAGTCAACAGTAACAAAAATTAGGAAGGCAGAAAGCAGGTGGACATGTGGAAACTGACTTAACAGACCTGGGAGAGCTGGATCCTAAGCCTGCATCAGGGAAAGAGAGAAGTAATCCAGTGCCCTTCCGAGGCGCAGGAATGGGCAGCATCCGGTACCTCTGGGAGTGGGAGTAAGGGTGAGGCTTATAATTGCTGTTCCAGAAGCAGTAAAACCTCTGGGGGGTCTAACTGCTTCTGGAAGGCAGTTGTGAGCCCCACCCTTCCCTAATGTGCACAGTGGGGCACTAGCCCCGCCCCCACCTTGGCTGAAGACTGGAGGTTTCTTTCTTTGAAGAGAGATTCTGAATGAGCAGACACTAGGGATATTTGAGGGCAGTAATACTGAACTAAAAACATGGGAGGAAGTGTAATTTGATGCTCTTGAGACACCCTATCTTCTTCCACTTGGTTCCCAGAAACATCACAGCCGGGCTTGGACCTTCCATATAGGAGATTGTAAGATTCTTCTTGGGGTATATGACCAGCCCAGGAGAAAACACACTGCCCTCAGAGGCTCCCCAGTTAAACAGGCCAGCCAATTCCCAGAGTGAGGACCTGGTGGACAAGTCCATGCACTCCCACGGAACTTTCACTTAGCTTTTATTTTTTTATTTTTTATTTTTTTAAATATATTTTATTGATTTTTTACAGAGAGGAAGGGAGAGAAATAGAGAGCTAGAAACATCAATGAGAGAGAAACATCGATCAGCTGCCTCCTGCACATCTCCCACTGGGGATGTGCCCGCAACCCAGGTACATGCCCTTGACCGGAATCGAACCCCGGACCCCTCAGTCCGCAGGCCGACGCTCTATCCACTGAGCCAAACCGGTTTCGGCAACTTTTAAATATGAGCTGGGAGCCAGTGATCACCAGACATTTGGAGAAAGTATCTAACATGCAAGAGATCAAAACAATAGGAAAAAAAGAAAATTAGAGGAAATTAAAGCTCTGCAGGGAGCAGGAAACTTAAAGAAAATAAAACAGTCTGTGATTAATATCCTTAGAATTAAAGGGAAATAAACTGCATCTATTTGACAAAGCTGGATACCCAAGAAGGGAATATTCAGAGAATAGAAAATTCTTGGGGATTAAAAATTGGATAGCAGAACTGAAAAATTTAAGAGGAAGAAAGTTGATGAAATACCCTGGGAAGTAGAACAGAAAGATCAAGAGAGAAAAACCAAGAAAGTTGAGGAATGGTCCAGGAGTTTTAACATCCAAATAATAGGATGTCCCAAAAAATAATAAATGGAGAGGGAACGAGTCTGAATCAGGGGCCCATAAGCTATGCCCACAGGTCAAATCAACCCAGCCTGTTTTGAAAATTGTATGGAAGTATGACCACACCCTTATGTTTATGTATTGTCCATGCTGCTTTTGTATTAAAAGAGCAGAGTTGAGTAGTTGTGACAGAATGCATGGCCAACAAAACCTAAAATATTTATCTGGCCCTTTATAGAAAAAAAATTTTTACTGTAAACAATTCAAGGAAATTTCCAGACATGAGTTTTTAGATTGAAAGGGCCCACTGAATGCCTAGCATATTAAATGAAAAATGAACCACACCAAGGCACATCCTTGTGAAATTTCAGAATAATGGGGAAGAAATTCTAAAGGGCTCTAAAGAGAAACATCAAGAATTGGTATGGCATTCAACTTTTCACCAGCAATACTGGAAGCTAAAAGTGAAGCTGTTTCCTAATAAATTCTTGGGAAAATGATTTTCAACTTAGAATTCTATACCCAGCAAATGTATCTGTTAAGTGTGAGAGGAGAATAAAGATAATTTAGTACATAGAAAACTCAGCATACCAACAAAACAAAACAAAACAGAAAGCCAAACAGAAAAACATTTGGACCAGAAAGGAAAAGTATGGCACACGGCTTAACGGTGGACAGTATTTAACTACTTTCAAAAGTCATACACACTGATGAGGGATCATGAGGTGGGGGGCTGCAGGCTCAGAATGGTTGCATGTGTAGAATGTAACAAGGAAATCAATAAAAAATGCCTCAAACTATAAGCCAGGAATCAGCAATAAAGCATACTAAAGGGATCAGTTAAAAAACTGAGAGTGGCTGGCTGTCTCTAGGCTTTGGCACCACTGGTCTTTAGGACAAACTTTGTAGAGCTGTTTGACTCTAAAATATGTGATGTGTAACTTTTACAAAAATAAAAATGAAATGAAGGATCAAATAATCTATTTCCCCATTAAGAAGGGGGTTCTGGGAAAAGTCAGACTTGAAAATTCCTATCATAGAGCAAGTAACTTTTTATTCTTTTGTAAAATAGCCAAGTTCAACAGGGGAACAGAAGACTAAACCCACCCAGAATAGTGTTCGGGAGCTCAGAGGCCTTGGGCTTTCCCCAGATCTGGTAAGAGTTCCTTATTCCTTGGTTTCAGCATGATCTTGTGTGTCTCATTAAAATCTCTTCTGTGGCACCCAATCCCTTTGTTTTCTTGGCATGCTTTTAGTTGATGGTGGAGAAATAGGTCTGGTTCTTGAACTGGGGCTGTAGTTTACAAATATTTCCTTATCTGGCATGTATGTGGTCGAGTCTTATTTCTCCCCTCAGCGAGTCATTTATTCTCTCTTCCCTCCTAACCAAGAACATTGAGGAAACCCCATTTGCCTCTTGTAGTTCAGTAATCGTGTCTGTTTTTCCAGTTTGGGATTTAGGAATTTTAAGTTTGCAAACAGGTAATATTGTCATAATATGCACGCATTGTGCTAGGAGTTAGCTTAACAGTGATGTCTGTTTTCATTTCAATTAGGAGAAAGCCCAGCTTTGTAATCTGTTCTAATTATCTTGCTTTCTTTACTACCAGGTTGTGTGCAGGTGTGCAAATCCTCTCGACACATCAGTGAAAGAGAAAATATCTATGTTCTGCCATGTTGAACCTGAACAGGTGAGTAGAAACTCCATCTTCACATGAATCATTTTTTGCTTCTGATTATCCTGAAGTCTCTTAACCAGTCTCATAAGGCTTATTGTCAGTTCAGGATTTGAGACCACAGACTGTTCCCTGGAAGAACTGACCGTTGGCTCTGTGACTCCATGACCCTGTCTGTGGTTCCCCAATGTACTTTTCCTCTCCTGCCTCTCCTCTCCCCACTTCTTGTACTACCTTCTGCAGCCATGCCGAATGGTGTCCGTCCCCCCGGCCCCCTCTTGGCCTCACAATCCTATTCATTTTCTTCCTTTGGGGCCCAGCTAGGACACAGTATTATCGGAGCAGCTTTACCTGTCAAACCTTCTCACTCTTGAACCTCAGTTTGATCTTTGGGCTCACAGGTGCTGATGGTGAGCTCTTATACTGCGCCTTTATGTGTGTCTGTGTGTTTCCCTTAACAGACTTTGAGCTTCTTGAGGGCAGGGCTCACCTTATTCAACTTTATATTCCTGGTGCCTGGTGTCTAAGGTGTTGTAGGCTCTAAACATATTTTAGTCTTTTCTGTTATCTGTGCTACAAGGGTACCTATGGTACAGGAAATTCAAAATTTTGGAACTGTAATATGTCTAAGTATGGTGCATGGTATAGAAATTCTAGTGGTGATTAGTTGAGACTGTGGCATTAGTAGGTTTGGCTGAAAGAGAGTTTATGGATTTGAAGGATTTTATGATTAAGTTATAGATGCTTTGTTTTGCTGCTAGATTATTTGAAGGTCTGGAGACAGAGAGGGGAGAATGGAGCAGCAGGGTTAAAATAAGGAAAATCCATTTATAAGACTACCAGGAGTGTGGATTTGAATATAAAAATATTAAAATCATTGCCTGGCATTAAAGGGAATAGAGCAAGAGGGAAGCCTTTCCCCATTACAGAGCTGCTATCATCTCCATCTCCATGGTGGCGCAAGCTTCAGGGAGTGAGGGCGGCCTGGGGCCTGAGAGCAGTGTTCCTGGGTGTGGTTCCTGAGCTGGGAGCTGGGAGCCCTCTCAAAGGGATTCATAACGAATATGTGTAAGAATAATTTCATTGTTATGAACAGCCACTAGTGCATGAATTCGTGCACCGGGCCTATAATATTGTATAATTTTCTTTTTAGATTTATCTTTGTAAAGACTTTAGGTTTATTCACAGGTATTTATAATTAACTATGTGAATGGCATATTTAAAAAAATTGTATTTCCTGATTAGATATATCCATGTGTAGGAAACCTTGCTGAATTCTGCCCATTGATTTCAAGGCAAGCTAACATTAATTAAATTCTGTTAGTTCTGATTGTTTACGTATACATTTTCTTGTGTGTTTTTTTATGGATTAAACAATAATATTGTATACAGTTAGTGATAATTGTTTCTTTATTTTTTAGTTCATATACATTTTTTAAAATCTAATTGTAATGGCTAATATCTCTAGTACATCACTGAATAGAAATAGTGATATGGCCTGTTATGCCTTGTTCCAGACTTTTGCATTAGTATTAATAGCAAACTAAATGATGTTAGCTCTGGGTTTTTTAATATTGTCCATAAAAATTCTAATTTACCAATAATTTTTATTATGAATAGGTTTTGAATTTTTATTAAACCTGCATCCACCAAGGTATTCTTTTCCTCTCCTTTAATCTGTTCATGTATTGAATCCCACTGTTAAATTTTCTAGTGTGGTGATTCTGAAACAGCTTTAAAAAATACTGATGCTCCTCCTTCTTCCAGAGATGGTGTGGAGTGCAGCAGGCTTAAGGATTTTTAAAAGCTCCCCCAAGTGGTTCCAGAGCCAAATTTGAGAACCACTATTCTGGTGACAAATCCTTCTTGAATATGACTTTCTTTTTTAAACAACATTTGTAGTTTGTGATTTTTTTTTTTTAAAGATATTTGTATCCACCCAGCTATTGTGGCTCAGTGGTTGAGCATCGACTTAAGAAGCAGGAGGTCACTGTTCGATTCTTGGTCAGGGCACATGTTGGGGTTGTGGGTTCAATTCCCAGTAGGAGGCATGGAGGCAGCTGATCAATGATTCTCTCTCATCATTGATGTTTTTATCTCTCCCTCTCCCTTCCTCTCTGAAATCAATAAAAATAAATTATGAAAAATATATTTGTGTCCATGTTTATAAGAAATTAGTCACTATTTTTTAATTCTTCTTGAGTTAATTGGTTTTGGTAATTTATATCTTTCTAAAAAATTGCCCTTTTTTCTCTCAAATTTAGTTATTTTCTCAAGGTCAGGTAGCTAGTAGGAGCTGTCAGCCCAGTTAGTTTTTGTTTGTTTTGTAAAATAACCTTTGCTGCTTTTTAAACAGGTGATCTGTGTCCACGATGTCTCGTCCATCTACCGAGTCCCCTTGTTATTAGAGGAGCAGGGGGTTGTAGATTATTTTCTTCGAAGACTTGACCTTCCTATCGAGAGGCAGCCACGAAGAATGCTGATGAAGTGGAAAGAGATGGCTGACAGGTTTGCTTCATAAGAAGGAGTTGGGAATTCTAGCCTATTTCTTTTTTTTTAGGGGCTCGGGGAATTCAGCTCTTACTTGTGCTTTCAACTCATGTTAGAAAAGGTTATAAATGGTAAGGAGCATTAAGAAAGGCTCTCAGCCTTCATGTAGTTGTATCATGGACAAGGAAGTCCTGGTGGACTTGGCCTAGGTCCCAGGTCACAAGTGAGTTCAGATTACACACTGACACCCTTGTCTCTGGTCGACTAGAAACTCAACAGGGACCTGGTGGCAGTGGGTTAGCACATGTACCCGAGGCCCACACCGATGACTGGCGAGGCTGGAACACTCCTGGGTAGCGTCCCAGATACCTGAGCTGGGCTTGGGAACATGTCACTCACCCTACACCAGAAGAGGATCAGCAGGGAAGTCAGTCTTCTGCTACCACGTTGAAAACTCCCCACTCCTCCCGCGGCGGTGTGGTGCTCACATCTCACGCCCCGCCCAGAGCACTGGGTGTAGTAAGCACGTGGGAGGGGAGCCACTCATCCCACTGCTGTGATATTTTCATTTTGACATTTTCCCTTTCAGTCTTTGTCCATTTACATGCACATCTTCTTGTAGCTACAAAAATGGCACACAGTTTTAGGACTTTTTTCATAAAATATTATAAATATTTTTGCTCTGTTGCTGATTACGTTTTATAATGTAATGAATATGGACTATTGTGTGGATATCCTATAATATATTTGACTATACCCTTCATCACACATTAACCCTTGTGAAGTGTTGGTCCATTTTTTTGTCCTTTGGGATTTTAATTTTTTGTAAAACAATGTGTGTGAGATTTTGAAGCCATCTCTTTGTAACGGCTTCTAAAATCCCATTTTCTTAAAAAGCCAGCCACACTGATCTGAAAGTTATTTGCTCTTTACTGCTGGGTACATAGGACTCAGATAATAGCTGCTTCCCGAAAGTTCTTCCCAGACTTGTTTTTCTTCTCTTTCAAAAGGAATTTAGGTCTCGTGGTCATATGTACATTCTAAATATTTTGTGGTTTCTTGACCTCTGATTGATAGATACGACCGCTTGCTGGAGACCTGCTCTATTGCCCTTGTGGGCAAGTACACTAAGTTCTCAGACTCCTACGCCTCTGTCATTAAAGCCCTGGAGCATTCCGCACTGGCCATCAACCACAAGTTGGACATCAAGGTGAGGAGGGTGGCACTGCATCAAGGCATGACCAGGGAGGCTGTCTGCAGTCCAGAGATGCTGTGTATCTGCTTTATATTTTTGAAGCTCAGAATTTATTTTTAGGATTAAAAAGATTTATGGTGGGCCCCTGGCTTTGAGAGAACAGTAGAGCATTTTCAGGAAATAATGAAGGGAGAGGTGGTCAGAGTAGAAGCTGAGAGACAGTGAATGCTTGGATCTGAATATCAAGCAACCAAGTAAAATTGCCCCAAGGGGGTGGGGGAGCCCTGCTGGCCAGAGGCACTTTGCACAATTGCTGGTACCAGTTACCCCGTCTGTGAAGTGGGAATGCTGATATCCACCACATAGAGCTGGGAGGTTTCTCCAAAATATGTGTCTAGTCGCTGAGTCAGTGCTTGGAACGGGGGCAGCACCCAGTAAATAGTAGTTACCTGCTCTGCTCTGCTCTGCTCTGTGACATGGTGGGCAGAAGCCGAGCAGTGGACTGTCAGGCATGGCCCCTGCCTGTCTCCTTGAGGTGGTAGAGTATCGGGGTCCATGGATTCCAGAGCCACACAGCCAGGGCTCAGATTCTGCCTCCCTCGCTTACAAGATGTGTGACTCCAGGCAAGTTACTTAACCCTCTTTGTGCCTCAGTTTCCTCTCCTTTAACAAGGGATAGTGATAGTACCTTCCTCATAGGACTATTATAAGAATTAAATGAGTTCATATAAAGTGCTCAGTACTGTGCCTGGCACAGAGGAAGTACTGTTTGTTAGCTCTTTTGGAAAACCTTGCACCTGTCCCTTTTATACGTTTCCCCCAGCATCGCAGCTCCCCAGCTGGAGTGGGTGTCCTCACCAGCGACACGGGGGTTTGCCTGTTTCTCCAGGTGTTTCCCAGGGTGATAGTTTGCTTTGTGCTGGTGAACAGATTCCTGTAGAACGACCTATTCCATGTTCTTACAGAATTATGGGATTTCATTACACTGCCTGACTTACATTTGCTAGTTCTTTGCATCACTCATTTGTTCTCTCCACGTGGAGCTAGTCTGTGCCTCTCCTGTGTTAGATGGTGGAGGTGAGAGGTGACTAGAAAGTCAGGGAGGTCTCTCAGGTGTGATTGGGAGGATTTGAAAGTAAAGTATCATTTTAAAACTACTTTAAAATTGAGAAAGATGGGGCATTGATAACACTGTTCAGAAATTATGAAAGATCAGTTCGCGGCTCTGGCATCACGAGCCTGCTTCTTTTCTCCTGTCTCACCGCCCAGTACATCGATTCCACGGACTTGGAGCCGAGCACCTTGCAGGAGGAGCCCGTGCGCTACCACGAGGCCTGGCAGAAGCTCTGCAGCGCTCAGTGAGTCGCTCGCCCTTGGCTTTCAGGGTCTTGGGTTGCGTCCGTGGGCAAAGTGCTGTGCTTTCGTGTGCTGGTGGCAAATCTGCTTGTTTAAATGTCTGTTGAAGAGACTGCACACCGGATGATGTAAACCTTACCAAAATACAGCTCCTCCGTGTCGTTGGAGCTGAAGAGAACTTGTTCTAGTTTGATTGCATCTGTTGGTGAAGCTTAACTTAAAGATTTTCATCCAGAAGATATGATTAGTATCTGTTGGTAGAGTCTTATAAGTAGTTTGTTTTCAGCAGCTGCTATTTATAATCATAAAACATGAGCAAGAATGTCTAGTTCATTAGCAGAATTGAGTGTTACGGGGCCCTGTAGCTGTGGCTGAGACCCCAGGTCAGTGTGGCACTCAGGCTGACCGGGAAAGGTCCCTTCCTACTTGGGGAGCACAGTGAGCCCAGAGGGGGGGAAAATGCGTTTATATGAATACAGATTAAAAATCAGGAAAGAGGCTGTGCCTGGGACAAATACTGTGTGGTAGCAGTATTACAACTTCATATGCCATCTTTTTTTACTTGTTGGCACTTAGTACCGTCACTGAGAAAAGTCCATGGTTTTGTGTGTGTTTTCTAAGTTCTTAGTGTTTCCGTTCAGCTCATTGGCAGCCTGAAATCACAGACATAGCCCGGTGGCAAAGTGTATGGGTAACTTCATGGCTTCTGTGTCTTGGAACTGGCTGTGGGTGGTCACTGCAAGCTGGACTGGTGGGAGGGGTCACCGTGCTGTGCTCTCTTCTCTTGAACAGCGGAGTGCTGGTTCCAGGGGGATTTGGTGTTCGAGGGACGGAAGGGAAAATCCAAGCCATCTCCTGGGCTCGGAAGCAGAAGAAGCCTTTTCTGGGTAAGAAGTAGAAAAGAGCACAAGGAGGTGCCTGTAGCCTGTAAGTGAAACGGGATCCCCAGACCCAAACACAGGTGCCGTCTTTCCAGATAGCAACTCAAGTCCAAGCCTCTTTGGTTCTGTGTGGGAGAAATTCAAACCCTCCTTTAAAATGAAACGTTAAACTTGTGAGTTGCATGTAGATGTCACGGAACTTTCAAAGAATGAAGTGTCAGTTAGGAAATCTTGTTTATTTACTGACCTTGGCTTTAGGCAGGACTTGGGGAACTATGTTCCATCCTCACTTGAGGCACCAGTTGACTAAGTAAGCGAAGTGATCTGGGATGCTTCCTCGTGCTGTAAATTTCAGGAATTTTCAACTTGACCAATTATAAGTGGGAACTGAGTACAAGGGGGGAGGAAAACTTGACTTTTCAAAGTACTGAATAGAATATTGGAATTGAATAACTTCTGAAACCTGGAGTCTTTACATACACTCAGGTCAGTTTTTAGAATCCGATGCAGATACAGCATAGCAGGGGGGCTTGCTCATAGCAGGAAGTTCAGAAAGTTTGTGGTTGGAATGCTGTGTACAAGCAGGACACAGCCCCAGGCAGGCTGTGGGAAATGTGGGAATGTCACCTTTTCCATGGAGCTTCATTCCTGTTTCTCTCCCACCTGCAAGGCGTGTGCTTAGGAATGCAGTTGGCAGTGGTTGAATTTTCAAGAAATGTGCTGGGATGGCAAGGTAAGTGTCTGCTTAAAAGCTTTTTACATCCCTGGAGAGCACAAAGCCTGGTGCCTATTGGGTCACTGGGAGCCGTGGAGAAGGACAGGCCCGCCCGGGCTCTCAGTACCTCTTGGGGTGCATTAACGGGGATGTTTATTGAGGGAAAGCAGGACCTCCTCCAAGCGAAACCCCAGGAAGGAGGGAGCCCAGCTGAGCAAGCTCTCTGTCCCAGCACTTCCTGTTCTGGAGATCCTCACACTTTATCACCATGGCCATCGCCCTGACCTAGTGTCCAGCGAGATAACTCTGGCCTGTGTGAGGCTGTGCAGTTTTTATGAACTTGAGCTGGTTAGACCAGGGCTCCACCTGACTTTATCATTTATTATGGGTGATTCTCGGCACATTCCTTAGCCTTTTGGGGCCTCTGTTACTACTATAAAATGGGTTAATAATGATACCACTTCACATGGCTGTAACTAGTAAATGAAGTTATACGTAAATAGTCCCAGCACAGGGCCTGGCAGATGGGAAATAATCATGTCAGCTCTGTGCCTCGCTAAGGGTATCACCGTGTCCAGACCATCCCCAAACTGGTGGCTTCCAACACAGTGGTTTATTTCCCAGTATTGTGTGAGGTGACTGCTTTCCTCTCCGTGCAGCGTGGCTGAGATCACCCTGCCCTGCCCTCAGCTCTGCCCAGAGGGACAGCGCAAAGGTCTCTCCCCCTGGCAGCTTATCAGTCACTAATTCAAGCCGAGCTTCCTCACGGCATGGAGACAGACTGGCTTCCACAATGACAAGCCGACTGTGCAAGCCCCTGTCAAGCTTGCTGATGTCTGTGGCCAAGCCCAGAGTCTTTGGGGGGTGGGGGGTGGGGGGGAGAACAACCTCACGATGTGAATACTGGGGGTGTGGTTCATTGGGGCCACCCTTGGGAGAGTCTGCCACACCCCAGCTGACAGATACTAGGTTTTCAGAAAGACTTTATGAGTTCTAAGAAAAATAAAGCAACGTGAAGGAATGAACAAGTGGTCTGGCTTTACAAAGTACTTGTGGTTCTTCTGTGGCCAGCTCGCTGTTAGCAGGCTGATCTCAGTTCACATTTCTTCTGAGCTAAGGGGATGGTGGCTCATTTTTGTAGGGAGCGTGCCCTTAGGTTCTGGCTTCTGAGCTGGCGGGCACTGTCTTACCCCCACCGCCCTAGAGCTGGCCCTCTGGGCACCGTCGACCCTCCTGCCACCACTGGGCTTCCCAGGTGGGTGAGTGACCTGGGGAGGAGCTGTCCTTCAGTTGAGTCCTGGCCTTGGTTTGGCCCAGCAGGGGGAGATGCCCTGCACATTCAGATAGAACGAACAGACACACAGAACCTGGAGCTCAGTGCGTTTCCTTTTAGTCTTTAGTGGTTTTGCTTATGGTTAGATGGTAAGTTCAGTAAAGGATAGAAATGTTACTTGGGTTTTGAAATCAGGTAATTTCTGATTTAGCTATTGAGTGAGGCAGTTGAGTAGGGCCTGGTATAAGATGCTGAGCACGAAAGAGATAGTACTTGCCCATCTTAGAAAGAGACAGTCTGAAACGAAAAGTGAAAAAAAAGTTGAGATTACAGTATAAGAACCTCATAAGGATGTGTTATCTAAATAAAGATTATTTATGTCATTAGTTTCCATGTCCCCATTTTGTACAGCTTTGACCTCCTCCAGAGGGTTACAGATGTAATGCAAAAAATGCATTTGTGTGTTTATTTTATAACTTTGAAATGCTGTCCCTAGTTTTTGTTCTAATCACTGAATGACTTTAAACTGAAGAGGGAAATTGTGATTCAGAGCTTAGGAATCAAACTTTTAAAAAATCAGATTTGCTTGTAATTATTTTCATAACACAAATGTTTTTTATTTTTCAGATGCCAATTCTACAGAGTTTAACCCCAATACCAGTCATCCTGTGGTAAGTCCAGTGTTTGCGTCTCACCAGGGCCTACATGGTGCGGAAGGGACACTGATGGAAGATGATGTTTAGAGACAGGAAATGAGACCACTTAGGTCTATCCCAAAGGGCCCTGAGGTCCTGCCTTTCAGACCCACTGGATAGGAAGGAGTTTCTTTTTCATTGTGTGATTTCTCACTGCTCTTCCATTTTGCCACAAAAAGTTTTAAGGATAGGGACCACCCTAGCCAATTAGGGGGGACGGGGGTCCTGATTAAAATAATTCTCCATCCCCACTCCCCTTAGCTCCCAGGAGTGCTTTATAATAATACTGATATGAGCCCTGATTGGTTTGGCTCAGTGGCTAGAGCGTCGGCCTGCAGACTGAAGGGTCCCGGGTTCAATTCCAGTCAAGGGCATGTACCTTGGTTGCGGGCACATCCCCAGTGGGGGGTGTGCAGGAGGCAGCTGGTCGATGTTTCTCTCTCATCGATGTTTCTAATTCTCTATCCCTCTCCCTTCCTCTCTGTAAAAAATCAATAAAATATATATTTTTTAAAAATAATACTGATATGAAACACTTAGGGCACTTATTATTGTGCTAGGCATTGTTCACTGCTTTATACAGGGGTGAGCAAAAGTAAGTTTACAGTTGCTCGTGTGGAAAAATCTGTAATACAAGCGTAATAATATAAAAATAAACTTTCACATACTCACAACTGTAAACCCATTTTTGCCCACCCCTGTATATTGATTCACTTAATTCCCAACAACCCTGGGAGATGAGCATATCATTAAAGAACTTCTGGAATACAGTATTGATTTGTGTAATGGTGACCAGAGCCCTCTGAGACGCATACTCGTGTGACATCTCCTTCCAGAGGAGCGTGGCTCGGGGGCGAGGGACAGTGCCTTACTGGTCTGAATCCCTAGCCCCAGGCGCAGGCCTGCAAAGCTCTTGATCTCAAGGCACTTCCACGGCATCCGTATATGCTTGTTGACCTGAACTTGAACTTTGCTAACACTAAGACCTCAGGAGGAGAAAAACAAAGGTTTTGAAATGTGGGGGTGGAGGAGGAGCAGGGCACAGAGAGGTCAGTCAGTGGACAGAGGAGCACGGGACTGAGCGGTGGACTGACTGTCGGGGCTGGGGCCCTCGCCGCTCTGTTCTGCAGGCGCTCACTAAGCTGTCGGGGCTCAGTGAACCCTAGACGAGCACCCTTGCCTCTGACAGCTCATCGGTCTCGTGGAGCGGGAGGGAGCGTGTGATAGCATCCCTGTCTGGTGTACTTGGGCTGTTAGTCCTCGTGAGAACTGCTGCAGCCCAGCAGCACTTGGGTCCACAGTGCTGGGCGCGGGAATGGCTCATGAGGGCAGCGGGAGGATTCAGCCCCCACCCAGTGAAGGTTAGAATGATTCCTGGGGGCGTTTCTCCCTGTGACAAACGCCTCTTAGCAGGAACGGCTGGGGAGTTGGAGCCTCCAGGCTCATGTCACTCAGTGCGGCGGTCTGTCTAACGGAAGCAGAGTTTGGAGAGCATGCTTGTTTTTCATCCTCCAGGTCATAGACATGCCAGAGCACAATCCTGGGCAGATGGGCGGCACCATGCGGCTGGGCAAGAGGAGAACCCTGTTTCAGACCAAGAACTCCGTCATGAGTAAGCGCTGCCCCACTGGCGGCCTTCGGCTCGGCACCTACAGGACGTGTGTCTTGGAGGGGTGGGGGGTGCTGGGCTCTGGCGCTTTTGATTCTGTTCTTGCTTTAGAAGTTCCTCTCCTTTCCCAGTCATGCACATCTAGGATGCACTGAAGCGGCAAAGCCACGGTGGGGTCTTAGGAAGGTCACAGGCAGTGCAGCCGGGACCAGGGGGGTCTTGGGTGTGGACCAGTCACCAGAATGAGGCAGTTAGGTGAAATCCACTGTAACCTCTTCCTCTCCTATATTGTGAGGTTGAACCATGTGGAATTGTCCCACAAAAATGGCGGTTTCATAAAGTTCAATATAAATAGATTTAATTTTAAAAGTACTAGCAGGTGCTAAAGGTTTAGGGAAAATTTGGGGAGGAAAATATTTAAGACTGAAGATGTCATTTTCCTGCCCACTGGGACAGTCTGCCTGCACATATTAGCAGAGGCAGCTCCGTGTGTCTGGGGATTCAGCAGCGCAGAGTTTGAGTCACCTGAGTAGGCGACCCTTCAGTCCCCCCTCTAACGTGCTGGGACTCGGGGCTCCACCTGGCAGTCCGCGTGGGTTTGCATAGCGGCACTTGCAGGTGCAGCGCTTGTTCCCGGGTAGCCAGCGGGGCTGAGGAGCTCTGACAGCTGTGAGTTAACCTCACAGTGCTGGCCCCACGGTCACCTGTGTAGCTCCTCAGACATCTCTCAGGGCTTCGGACTTTCGGGGCCTCCTGATTCGTCTTCCAAGGTAGTTTGCTCAGGTGGGAGGGTGGTGGTGAAGTCTGTTTCTGTTGCAGTTTGTCTCCATGTGGTCAGAATGTCAGAGCCCAAACTCAGCCTAAATTGCTGCTGCGAGCGGGTGGCTTAGGTGGCAGGGGAATCAGAAATAATCTTCAAAAGGCCCAGGTGATAAAAGGCGTGGATGATAAAAGTGGAAAGCAGGATGTGGTTGTGAATAGATTTTGTGTGTGTGTGTGAAATCAGAATTCTCTACATCTGCATGGATTTGGTTTTGGTTATTTGTTTGTTTGTTTTTTTGCCAGGGAAACTCTACGGAGATTCAGATTACTTGGAAGAGAGGCACCGCCACAGATTTGAGGTGAGGAATTCAGTTTTGTGACTTTTATATTTTTCTCCTTTCTGTTGCTTTGGAGACAGTAAGCTGAGAAATTAGTCTTCATTCTTCAACAGGTGAATCCAGTCTTGAAAAAGTGTTTGGAGGAGCAAGGCTTAAAGTTTGTTGGCCAAGATGTTGGAGGAGAGAGAATGGAAATTGTGGAGTTGGAAGGTGATTACTTGGGGTGTTGTATTTAATGGAAAACATAGTACGGTTTTCTTGGCACGTGGGGAAACACAAACATGTTAGTTGCTACCCTTGACCTAACAGAATTAGGAAGCAGCACTGTCTTGGGAGGTGGGGGGTCTTGGCAACGGAGGTGCCTGGAGCCCAGGGACACAGGGCCCACGGGGCGGCTCTGTGCCAGGGCCTCCTGCAGGCAGCCATTCCAGCTCTGGCCTCGGTGCCTCCTTCTCCCGGATTTGAGCTTGAACTCTGTCCTTGGGCCCCCTCTAATCTAATGTGACCTGTGACTCAACCCTTCAGACATCTGGGGAGCCAGGGACAGGACCCGGAGAGGAGGTGCCTTCAGCCAGGAGGCTGACACGGGCAGGGGAGAGGGCATCTGCTCCCATGTCTTGTGGGTACTTTAACCCGGGTTCCAATCAAGACGCTGTTTCAAATAATTGTAGGGTCTGTGCAAATGTGAAACATTTAACAAGATTTTATCTCTAATACATGTGATGTGCACATGCATGATGAAGCTGTTTCTTGCATGTTTCTGTTTCAGATCATCCCTTTTTTGTTGGCGTTCAGTACCACCCTGAGTTCCTGTCCAGACCCATCAAGCCATCCCCGCCGTACTTTGGCCTCCTCCTGGCCTCCGTGGGGCGGCTCCCGCATTACCTCCAGAAGGGCTGCAGGCTCTCGCCCAGGTCGGGTCACCTTCCTCGGCCTTCGTGGTCGTGGTTCCACGCAGCAGCATCACCCCCTGGTGATAAGCCGAGCCCAGGAGCCGGGCTGGGGGCTCCTTCCCACAGGGACTGGCGGTGACCTCTCATCCCTGGGTTTTCTCAGGCTGCCAGTGTGCCGCCCATGACCTACCCCAGCACTGCCGAGTCCCCCACCTGTAGCATCAGGGTTCCAGGATTCCAGTTCCAAGTAGGACCCTGTGGTCCAAGGGGAACTGTGATTTTCCCCCGGGTGTCTGCTGTAGTTGTGGGCCACTGTGCACCTTAATCCGGAACCAATTGGTCACCCTGGGTTGGGGCCTACGGTATCGTGACTGCAGCAGAGTTCAAATGTGTACCTTTGTAACTAGAAGCTCTGCAGCTGAATACGTGATGCAGTAGAGTCCTTCTGGCGTGTCCTATGGGCACCGTGCTTATAGAAGCAGGGAAGCGAGGTGAGTTTTTGGCGGGAGATGATGAGTAAACCGTCTGAATTCTACAGGGACACCTACAGTGACAGAAGCGGAAGCAGCTCCCCTGACTCCGAGATCACCGAATTGAAGTTTCCATCCATAAATCATGACTGATGGTAATGTATGTGCTATTTTTAAGCTTTAGGTTTTTATTGTTTGTTTTTGTAATGGTAATAACATTAGAATTATTAGAATATCATGAGTTTAGTGTTAAAATTTTTATCTGCCAGAGAATGAAAATGGTACGGTCAGTGTGGGCATCAAGTGGGTGAGACCCCTCCAAGTACTACTCTGCCCCAGTACGTGCAGTTACCCACCTGCTCTACCCCAGTACATGCAGTTACCCACCTGCTCTGGGGACTCCAGTGGGGGACACCAGTCACTGAGCAGTTGTCTCCTTATGGATTGCTACATTCGGGTGCTAATCTGACTAAATCTGGGAGGACAGGATTCTTAGCCTTCGATATTTCATGTTCCATAAACTTGGAGATCTTGAAGGAGGTGACAGATGATGTGACAACATGGTAACTGTCATTTTTGCAGAGCCTCATGCCTTCATCAGGAAATGCTATAATATTGATACATGTGATACCTTTATGTTTATTGCTGCTTATTCTGGAGATCCCTTAAAATCCAAATAATTATTGAGCTAACTTTGAATGTTTGTCTTTGTAGTGACAGGACTTGTAAGTATATAAAGTATCGTAGGTGTGGGCACTGCCATGAAGTGTATGAAGTCCTGCTAAGATGACTGAGCAAACTGTCAGCAAATATGGGCTGCTGCTGACGGTACCAGAGGGGGTTAGGGTGTCAGGCAGGAATCCGGGGTCTAAAGGAGAACAGGGGTGTGGTCTGGTCCCATGGGGGCGGGGGTTTCCATCACAGATAAGATGAGCAGCTGAGCTCCTGCACCCTTGCCCTCAGTAGCAGTGGGCCCCTGCACTGTGCAGACCTGGTCCAGGGGGCACACGGCTGTTTCCGTCTGCCTTGGTTGATTAGCCACCTGAATGAGGTGGGCCGGGAGAGAAGTAGGCTCGCGCTGGGGGGAGGCAGTGGTTGCTTTCTCTGCCGGGTGAGCGTGTAGCCCAGATGGCCTGGCCGGTGCTCTCCGGCGGACAGTGTGCTGAGGCTGACAGGCTAAAAACTGCCCCAAGAGAAAGGAGACTGGAACAGGAAAGGGTAGATATTTGGTCAGTTACATGGCATTCTAACTGCTCCCTCAGTGGAGAGCTCAGTCCGTGACACTCTTAACGGCTGGATGCTCTGAAAAGAGTGCTTGTATTGGGGCAGATGTGAGGTCCCTCTAAGATCTTGAAAACGTGTGGTTCTATAGGAATGATACATTTAGCTGGTAATTATTCATGTCAGGCTCCTACCACTGACTTCCATGAAAAACAGACATAGTTGACCATAGCAGCTGACTCCAAATTCTGACTTTTCTACTTTAACAATGCATACGTCATGTAATTGCTAATTGTCTTTTGTTTGTTTGTTTGTTTTAAGCAGGGGTGATTCTTCAAGAGAGCCTTCAGACTTCGGGAGTTTACAGCTTGATTTTACACTCGGCTTTTGACACTTCCTTTAAATTATGTTTTTATTAAGAATATTTTATTATGGGGAAGGGTATTGGGAAGACTGTGACCTGCATGTCCCATCATGTGTATCTGCTCCTGCACGGTGGCTGCCTGGTGTTGACACTCCCCTTTTCAGCCCCAGCCCCAGCCTCAGACGGGAGGCGGGACATCCGGGCAGGAGCGGTGACAGGGCGGCTGGAGTGCCCGCCAAGCGCCTCGTTTCTGCAGCCACCTGAGTCGCTGTGGATTTGAGTGTGTGGCCTCTCGCTTCCCCAGGGAGGCCTAGACCATTCTCAAGAGTGCCGCATGCGCTTGGTGCGCCCGGAGGGTAACTTTAGCTAATGCTTACACCCTTGGTGCTGGTGACCTGCGGGTGCTGCCAAGAGCAGTGAAAACAGAAACGAAGCCTTGGCACTGCCCCGCCTGGGGACTGTCAGTGCCAACTGTGGCTGGGACTCGCTGTCCAAGGGACAGTCAGTTTGATGTCACATGAACGGCAGGAAGTCTGTGTCTCTCTGCAGCGTGATTTGAGAATCCCTGTCCTCTGGCTGGGCGTCTCCTGGGGCTGGGAAGCGCTCCTTGCATCAAGGGGTCGCTCAAAAAAGAACAGAGCCTCTAAGACCCTCTCACATATCAACAGCTTTGCTCGAGGGACTTCTTCCTTCCGGGATGGTATTACTGCAGTTGAAAGGCAATATGAAAATCTATTTTCTTTACATGATGTAACAATGGGCACAGCTGTGTGCCCCTTATATTCTGGCTGGACTTGGTGTAAACTCTAACTTAAGAAATAAATAATGCAGAAGAAGAGACGTGCTTGCTTTGTCATGCTCTTCATGTACTGGCACATGGGAAGTGTCTGCTGCCAGGCATGCCTGTGTGCCTCCCGTCACCTGAGCGCCCGTCCCAGGCTGTCCTCCAGGGGAGCAGTCTTACGTGGATGACCTGATAGTTTAAAAACTAAGAAAGGAGCCCTTCTTTGTAATAGGGTCCAGAACTTCCCCAAAGACTTCAAATTTAGATTCTCATCATTGAAAGATAGAAATTCAAAGTAGCATGGGTGCCATGTGCGCTGTTCGAGCTTGAGAAGGGCTAGTAGGCGTGTTGTTTATGGAAGCCGTCCCTCTGCTGAGCAGGGACATGGCAGACTGCTTTGTCCCCGGCAGGTCATCCTGCTCCCCTAGCCCCGAGACCGGCTCCTGGGTGGTTTTTCCTTCAAAGTAAGACTTAGCGATACTGAATTCATGCTCCTTGCAATATGTTGGTGAAACTGGCACCCACCCTCTGGCTGCTGGGCACACCTGCTCACAAGCTGTCTCTTCCACAGAGTGAGATCCAGAAAAGAGGTGGGTTACTTGCCCAGCCAGCATGGCTCAGTGGTTGGGCATTGACCTATGAACCAGGAGGTCATGGTTCAATTCCCAGTCAGGGCACATGCTCAGGTTGCAGGCTCCATCCCAAATGTGGGTGTGCAGGGGGTAGCCCATTGATGATTCTCATCATTGATGTTTCTTTCTCCCTCTCCCTTCCTCTCTGAAATAAATCCTATATGATTAAGAGGTAATATGCAAATTGAGTATCACACCCTACAAGAT